TACAGAAGAATGGGAAAATATAACGCAATATGATATATGGCCAGCCTCGATGACAGTATAAATGGACGTATACAGGCAGTTATAGCGGCCAAGGGAGGCAATACGAAGTATTAGGGTATTTTTACAATTTCTTTTTTTGTTTGTGTACTTGAGTATTACAGATGTTTTCTTTAATATCGTTAGTTCTGTTATTGTTTTTAAAACCCAGACTGTATCGTTAGTCCTTCAGGTTCTTTTTAAATTTAGTATAGAGTATCCAATGCAGCGTAATATAACGTTACTACAATAGTCACCAAAATCATCTCGTCATACTAAAAAATTACATCAAAAAGTAATGATAATTGAAAAAATTGCAAATTGATCGTGATCGGTTCATTACGCTGTTAAAAATTAACCAAAGCATGTATTGACATGAATAAAAAAACAAAATGCTCAGAAGTCATGGTTCTGATTGTAAAATTATATTTTATTATTATTTTTTTTTTATTAGGAAAATTTACACACGAAATTATTGCACAGGGTTTTTTAAAGTTAGGGCAAAAAGACAACCCCTCGATTATCCCTGTATAATACGCCAAATACTAAAGTTTATAAAAAACTGAGTTTACGAATTAAGCTGATATAATTATATACAGCTTGCTAAAAAAATCATAAAATAGGGCTAAAAATGACAAACATATAACATTTTAAATTTGGACAAAAATTTCTCCGTTGCGTTTTTTTTTACATCTGAGTGTAGATTGTTTGGGAAAGGGGAACTTAATCACCGCAACAAATTCCGACCGCAGCGCTTCAACGGCAGAAATCAGAAATTGTCAGTAGCCGCCGTCTTGTTGATGGCATTAAAATAATATCGAAATCGTGTTTTTTTTTCATAATATTTAAGTATTTTAGTATTTTGCTAGTGCAGTTATTGAGACTATAAAACACTCAGGCACGAGGTTTGTGTGATGTAACGCTGCACGCTGTTTCGGGTAGTAAAAAATAAGTGAAAATGAAGTGAAAAGAATTAGGCGTCGTGTTGTGTTCTGACAATTTTTAAATGTTAACAAAATTGCCAAAAAAATGTTAACGTGTAGGAATGTTAACGTAAAGGAGAGCGTAATTAGGGCGTTGCGTTGTTGGGTTGTAATCTTCAATAAATGGACTTTCCCGGATATTCAACTCCCTCGAAATAACATTTTATAGCTTCATATACAGTGTGTCAATTTTAAAACTTCCGACCCTTAATATCTTTCTTGCAGTTAAAAATATGAAAAATTGGAAAGACACGTCAATTTTATTTGTAAGGGGGACACTTAAAATGAATATTTTTGGCCTTTTTCTTTCAACCCCTTAGGAGGGGTAGATGTCACCTTTACAATCTTAAATGGGAATGGGGGTCAAGTGGCACACCGTTTTAAACGGCGTTTAATTCTCTTTTCAGTGGTATCCTACTTTATTGCTTTTTATCCAGAGGTTTCCGAATAATCGGGTTTCAAAGGTGCAGAAACAATTAAACGTGTCAGATTTTGGTTTTCAGGTTAGTGTTTACACAAAAGTTATTGCAATGGATCTCCTTGTAGTACAAATGATTAGAAGATTAGGTTACACCACTTACGCCCTATCTTATAAGTTGTTCAGAACGTTGTCCATTTTCTCGTAAACAGTAATAAAGTCTGTCAAACACCTCCCTAACATCTCGGAAAATTTCACCGGGAATTGACTGGCATTCTGCTGTAATTCGCCTTTTAAGATCATTAATATCAGCAGATTGTGTTTTATAAACAATGGACTTAAGATGTCCCCCCCCCCAAAAAGTCTAAGTGATCTTGAAAGCCATTCAATTGGTCCCCTTCTGCCAATCCATGTACCTGCAAATCTCTCGTTTAACCACTGTCGGACCGGAAAAAAATAATGAGCTCTGGAGCACCGTCCTGCTCGAATGTTAACAATTCCTCCAGTGAAACTGATTAGAGGTTGCCACTCATTCGAATTTGAGAAAGGAAACGTTAATGTTTATGATGTTTTCTGTGTATTAGTATTTCGAATTTCGACCCTCTAGAAAAATGTAATGGCTACGTCCGTGTTGCCACCTAACCTTCTAATCATTTGTACTACAAGGAGATTCACTGCAATAATTTTTGTGTAAACACTGGCCTGAAAACCCAAATCTCAATGCAGGCATGTTTAATTGTTTCTGCATCTTTGAAACGCGATTATTAGAAAATCTCTGGACAAAAAGCAACAAAGTAGGATACCGCTGAAAAGAGAATTAAATGTCCTTTAAAACGATGTGCCACTTGACTCCCATTCCCATTTAAGATTGTAAGGGTGACATCTACCCCTTCTCAGGGGTTGAAAGAAAAAGGCCAAAAATATTCATTTAAAGTGTCCCCCTTACTAATAAAATTGACGTGTCTTTCTAATTTTTCATATTTTTAACTGCAAGAAAGATATTAAGGGTGGGAAATTTTAAAATTGACACACTGTATGTAGTTTCTTACACCGATTTGATCAAAAGCAAAAATATTCAAGCAGTTCGACGAAACAAGTGAGTAAACAAAGTGTTCGTTAGATAGTCAAAAAAATTAAATAGACGTACCATGAGAGGATAAAATATAATTGGCAATATTAATGGTATACTTTTTTTAATCAACTAGTGATTAAATGTTTTATGAACATCCTCTGAAATTATAATTATGTACCTTTAAAAAGTTTCATTATAGCCGAAATAGCCTCAATTACGCCCCACTAGCAAAACCGGTGATTAAAAGTATGCTCGCTACCGTAGTTGAACTCATCTAAAAAGTTTTTTTTTAACTAGAATAATAAATTATAATACAAGTTAGACCTTCTGGAGATATCAAAATATTTACTTTTTTATTTTTATTTTTAGAATGTTTACAAATTATTATACTTCCTAACACTTTTAGAATAATTAAATAATGCATTTTTCGTATACTCGCTATTTAAATCCGTGTATTTGTATATACTAGTTGTTTACGATATTCTCCGATGGTGGCAGCACCGGCGGAGAATGCATCAAGTCTATAACTTATCATACAGTCTCAAGACTTTGACCATAGACTAATGTCACGTACTTTTGAGCCACCTGGTGATCCGGAAGAAACTAATGGAGAGTTTTGGCATAACATAATTTTAGCGTTCCGTTATTTATTAACGCTAACTATAACGGTATCGTTATTCAAGCGCAAAATTATTCCTTGTAAAATATAAAATAATAAATATAGACTTGTTTACTATATTTTCTGTTTTATTAAATCATTAGAAGTGTAACATATTCAAAACTAAAAATAAAATTATGAATACATACATTTTAAACACCAACAATAGAGTACATAGCGCCTATGTTTTTGATTTAACAAATAAATTATATAATATTATAATAAAAATATTATAGAGTACTAATTGTTAAAGTACTATATTACCAACTATGTACTTACTTATTTATGATTAAACATGTTTTTTTATTTCGTTCATAAATGTATTATTCATCTAAGATGTCTAAAAGGTCTTTACTAAAAAAAGTTTACTATCTCACACGATGTAAATATCAAAATGCACAAACTAATAAGAACACAAACTATAAACACAAATCACCGAACTTTCCGGCAAATCAGGAATATCTGAATTAATAATTATTTAAAAATGATTTAAAAATAACTTGACGGATCACCAACATTTTGACAACTAAACCAAAACTAAACCATAGATGGTAGTTAATATAGAGGCTGTCATGTCATCTTCATATATAAATTAGAAACCTGTACTTTAATGCCTTTTGCGCCGTCTGGTGATGCGGAAGAAACTAAATTTATAGTTCCATAAAATTACCATTGAGTGTCTAGAGCATGACTTTGACAAAAGTTAATATCTGAGACGGTTTTACAGAAGTTAGTGCTCCATCTCCGATATCAGTCGTACGAAATAGTTTAATGTAATAAAACATGAATGGTTGTCGTCTTAGGGCACTCAGTGATAAGTTATTCTGATGTTTCCCTAGTTTCCCCACAGAATCTGCATTTACCGTTGTTTCTTATAGCTTCAATATAGTGTGGTCTACATTAAGGAGACAGTGTCATGTTAAAAACCCCGTGACAATTGGAAGATTGTTCTTACATAAACCAAAGAAAATCTTTGATTTTTCTCGGTAATAAGCCCTGTGAACTTTCTTCAATTCTTTTAGTCTGTTGAAGGATTCCCATTCCAGGTTACGGATGGAGTCTTCCAGGTGTTTGAGTTCTGCTTTAAGTTTGTTTACACTAGGGAAGCACAACGGTTCTGGTTCAGTTAGTGAAGAGTGTTCGCTCCTTTTCAGGCTAGATCGTTTGCGTTTTTTTTAAATATGTTTGGAACGCCAATTGATGTTCACTGCAGATCAGTGACATTCTAGACATTATAAAATATAAATTCAACGGAAAATAAAGAGGAAACATTTTATTCAAATCTAAGAAAATATTGAAATATACAGGGTGATTCCTGTAAGTTGGTCATGCTTTGGTTTGGTTTGCAAAAATTACCCAATGCATATCACATCTACGCCACTGGTTGAAACTAAAATCTCTTCTTTTTACATTTAAAGTGTCTCTGTTAAGTAGACTCCTATAATTAAATTTTATAACGATACCTTCAACTGTAAAAAACTATTAAAGAATATCTTTAATTTTTTAAAAACTTTAATACCCTGTATCTTGCGTAAGAGGCATTTCCGACCCATAGTGTGCTATATCAAAATTTATATTTCGACGTCCCCTATCATTCCCTGAAAGCATGGCCACCTTACAGGAATCACCCTGTATAGAAATTGCTGGGAATCAAAATGTAAACAAAAATAATGAAAAGAAATCACAACAACTGTCAAACCTATCAAACCACAATAATATTGATAACAATTTACCGTAAAAAAATTATAAAATATTTTGATATTTGTAGGAAGAACAATCAAAGAATTATGAAAACCGTTTTTAACAATTTCTATTTAATTTTATTTTTTACAGGTTATGGTTCAGTATCTCCCAGAACATCATGGGGTAAACTAGTAACTATCATCTATGCATTGATAGGCATCCCTTTAATGTTACTCTACTTATCCACCACCGGGGATGTTCTTGCTAGAAGCTTTCGTCGATTGTATGGTAAACTATGTGGCAGGTAAATGGTTCATTTTTGTATTGATTCTTAACAAACCCTGTTTAACAAACGATGTTTAATGAAACATCGTTTTAAACTATATAAACCATGTTAATATGTACCATTGGATAAAATAAATCACTTTTTTTATCCAATGGTACATAGGAAATACATAGGGAGTTTCATTTCTTAGTGAATTTAGTATATTGCATTTATTAATCTTCCGGTATAGTTGAATTAACGTTGCTAGTAGGAACTTGGTTTGTCACCAGTGTACTATTGTATTAATTGACATATTTATAAATTGACGGTTGTAGTTGGTTAGGCAACCTAACCTAACCAATGACAAAAACGCCTTTCGCACGAATTCGGCACACGTTCGAGTACGTTTCCATTAAAAGAAGAAAGTATTAAAAAAGCTGAAGAAGCACGACAAGCTTTACTGACACCAAATAGTGAATCCATTTACCAAAAGGAATCTAAAAAATACCTTCAGTGACTTGAACAGAAAAATACTGTAGCAGTCGGTTATCGATGAAACTGTTCTCTTGTTAATTTATTATATGTTACATTAATGATGTAAATAAATAAAATTAGAGTAGTTAGATGAGTGTCGAATTTCAATTTCCATTATTATTCAAAAAATCTATTGTATTTCGTGCTTGTTAACTATAAAAGATAGAAGGAATTATGGCATCTTAATTCGCGTTAATAATATATCCCAAGGGCGTTATGACTAGGGAATGCAATTCCGCAAATGCTGGATCCCGCAAATGAGATTCCGCGGGATCGAAGTTGCGGGATTTACCGTGCAGGATCCGCGGGATTGACACATTACTACTGGATAACCCAATCGATCTCGATCAAGGTCAAACCCCTTCGTTCCGGGCCGATGAGTCGATGCTCGGAACCCGGGGGACCCGTTTAACTAGTACTTGTGAACAATTTCGTCAAATAAACTACCGGACATAATTATCGGGACAAGCAAAATTTTAGGGTAAATTTAAAGTTGAATATCTCTTGAACTAAAAAAGATTTTGGGATGCGGTTTGGACCAGGTTTTAGATGCATCTATTGTGATTAAGATGCTATGTGGTTTTCGAAAATATATTAAGCAAATTCTCGTATACAGGGTGTTTTATAAGAGAGTGAAAATTTGGTCAAGAATCTTTTTTACCGCAAATTTACAAGTTTTAAAAAATCGAAATTTTTACCAAGTACGACTAATCTGTATTGAAATTAGAAAAAACAATTTGATCGGTTTTTTAATTTTTTGTTTTAGGGAAAATTGACTTTTTTTCGAAAAAGTGGTGCAAAAAGCTTTGTACATTCTGCATATGGTAAAAAATTATGAGTGCATATAATTGATATAGAGTGTATCTAAAAGCAGATAACTAACACAAGTTAAAAGAAACTTCAACATCAGAATAATATTTTTATTTACAAAATAAATAGATAAATTATAATAAAATTTAAGTTTATTTAATATTAAATATATTTTTTGAACACCCTGTATAAATCGGTATTATAATTTAAGTATATTATAATTTCTGTACAACTAGTTTAAGATTCACGCTATATCAATATATTGTGGGCCTGTGCAAAATGTACAATGCCTTTTGTACCATTTAGAACCAAATGTATGACTATTGTTTACAGTCCCGCAATTATGCGGATCCGTGGGATTGATTGCTTTAATCCCGCGGGTTTGCGGGATTGAGATTTTGGTGCGGGATTGCATTCCCTAGTTATGACTATTTATGGTTAACGTAACCAAGACGATATAAGCTTATATTAATTCAGTAAGAAGTAAAATTATTTAATTTTATTTGCAGCAAGACAAACCCACAAATTCCACAACAACAAATACAACAAAGATGTGCATGCAGCAACACTGTACGAGTACCTGTAACGCTATGTCTGGTGATAGTTTTGGCCTATATATGTTCCGGTGCGATGCTGTTTCATCGACTGGAGAACTGGTCGTTATTAGAAGGTACGATATACCGGGTGTTTTTCAAAAGCGGCTCTTCCTTATATTTTTTTTATTTTTTCAGTTAATAAATCGAGATTTGGTGTGTCTTATGACATAAATTAAGAATGATTGACGTTTTCGGTTACTTCCTGTTTCACCGGAAACGACTACAACTTTTGATTTTTAAATGGCACCCTCGGTATTTTCTTACTTTATTCGATAGACTTTTTTCGAAATATGCTAATGAGCCACCCCCGATCCCTTTGAAAAAAATTGAGATATGATTAAAAATACGATTTGGGCATCATTTAACCGGCCAGGAGAAGACACGAAAAACACTAGACGATCAAATCTATTTTCCAAGCATCCTTGATTAAAAATTAGTGTTTTTAACACAGCTATGGCACTCTAGATTGAAATTTAAAATACAATTGAATGGGTGGCTGCAATAACCAGAGAGCTCCATTTTAATAAATTTGTAGGAAATCGAAAAAGAGATGCTCGGTTCTTGCTGGAAACCCAGAGGAAGTCAGCTACAACTAACATCGCCATTTATGTACAGGGTGGACCATTTTGGTTGTTTCTATGCCAAGCTGAATAAGAAAATTTAAAAATATACAGGTGGTTCTATTTAAAAAAACATAAGTATAGTTAATATCTCAAAAAATATTTTTTTCGAAAAAAGTCTGACTACGCCACTGCATTCTACACAGAAAAGTGCATTTAGAATGTATAATTCATTTTACCGTGGTTGCTGAAATAAACAAACTATCGAACATCTTCAAAAAGTACAAAATTAGAGAATCCCCCTGTAGCTTCGAAACCGATCAAGATAGCCACGAGCCGTTTGCGCCATTGTAATTTTTTCAAAAAAAGAACCCGAGACTGCAGTATCAAAATTCGAATATTTCTCACGGTTTCCTAGATACCCCATAGAAACAACCAAAATGGTCCACCCTGTACAGTTATATTGAAAGAACTGATTTTTGCAGGAAACGATCGGCCAAATTTTTTAAAAGGTTTTAAATTTTAATTCATTAAAAATCTCATTTTCGAAAAGAAGTGGAGCTGCCTGGTTATTGCAGCCACCCCTTTAATTTTGTTTTAAGCAAAAACATCAAAAGTTGACATATGATACGTCATTATATTCAGAGTCTCATTTTCTATCGAATAAAGTAAAAAATACCAAGAGTGTCATTTAAAAATCAAAAGTTCTAGTCATTTCCAGTAAAACAGGAAGTGGCCGAAAATAATTGAATACGTCAATCAATCCTAATTTCTGTCATACACTAGCATACCAAATCTCGTTTTTTTTATATGAAAAAATTAAAAAGTTATAGTGTTGAGCTATTTTGAAACGCACCCGATATATCCAAATATATAATGGAAATAAATTTCTTTCAGTTTTTAGGTATATAATAAAATTATATAAGAGTTTCTTGCCTTGAACCGCTAATTTTGTGAAACGACCCAAGCTCACTTGATGATGGGGTAGGGCCCCGAAACCGGTAGCGAGAGCAGGTTGATCCACATTATGACGAGCACAGCGTGGAATTAATTTCTATATTAGCAGTTCAAGGCAAGAAATTTATATAATTTTATTATATATCCAAATATAGATATGCTTTTATTTATTGGCATCCTAGCTATTATTAGCTTATGCTATTAATATTACCATATATAGACAGGTTACGAACTAAGTTAAATTAAATTTAACACAATAAACAAGCCATTTTAATGTTATTAAATCATTATTTTCGGACCCATAATTTAGCTTATTCCGAATGAGACATAATAAAGCATGAAAATCTCGCAAAGTGAACTGGAACAGTCATTAAAACATTAAACCCTAATTCTACAATTTCTCTCTATTAATTTTGATTAACGTAACAATTATTTCTATTTCTCGAAAACATTCATTTGTCCGAAAAGACCTTTCTCAAATCTCTAAGAAGTTCCTCTAAAAAGGAATGACAAATAATCAAATTATTTGGATCGGTTTAAGGAAGTTTGGAACTGAATAGGCATTGAAGATTCTATTCGTTACTGTATTCCAAAGGGTATTGTCGAATTTTATTCTAAATGTCTTCAACAGCAATAAATTCTTTATTTATTGTAGAGATAAGACCGGTTAAAATGATAATACAATAAGTTTCCTTATGCTACTCGATTTCTAAAGTTAATTTAAGTAATGAAAAGATTTCAAACATTTGTACAATAGATGACGATTTTATCATAACATGTTTGGCTGTGATTCACCATAAGTAATTATAGAGTGTGATCAGTACTTTTAAAGTGAAACTTCTTTACTAGCAATGGAAGTAAAAATTCAAGGCCGTGGTGTATCAAGGGTATATCACGGCCTTGAATTGACACGGTATGACCTTGATCATGCCTTGATGCACAACCCAGGGGGGTGACAGTGAAATAGGAAAATTGGAAACAGTCATTAGTGTCATTCCTGTCATCTCCTGACGACAAGTATGGCCGCCTAGACAAGGACAGCAATGTTTTTGTCTAACTATTGTCTAACTTCACAGTTTAGAATTGACAGATTTGTTCTAGAACAAATTTCGACGCCATTTTCATTTTCTCCGTGTAGTTTTGTTTTGTAAATTCAATTTGATATTTCGGCTAAAATTTATAAATATAAAAGTAATAAAGCATATAAAATATATATTACATGAAAAATCCTGGAGAAAAAGACGTTTCTGCAGTACTAGGTATGTCCCATGTATATTAAAAATAGGTAGTAAATACACACTATTTCTATATTTTTTAGATGCAAGAAAATTAGGAAGAAAATTTTGTTATATGTTCATGATCGGCGATTTTTTTGAAAATGCAAACAATTTACAGAAAGGTAAGATCATTTTTAACTATAGCCAGCATTAGTTATCTCCAGTATGTGCGATTTATTGTCAATAATACAATAAATCTGTCTCATACAATCTGATTGTTATCCGATTAAAAGTCTCTTTTTGCTTCTTTTGGATTTATAAACCAGGTCTCTTTGGGAATAATGGAGCTTTTTTTAAATAGTATATTTATATTTTGCTATTTTCAGGTTTGGTTTGCTTTGGTATAAGGCTCCCGTTTTCATATTCCTGCCCCCGTTATCTGTTTCTGAAGGCTGTGAATACGTGTATTTATTTACAAATTACTGTAAGTCATGCTTATACCTCACTAATTTACGTTAAAACTGCATATAATTAAGTAATTGATATAGAAATCATTCAATTCTTTATTTTTTATATTTATTTAGTCACGTTGTCTCATATTTCAAATAAATATGTTTGAATAAATTTTTATTTTGTTTTATTTATGATAAGAAAGAGTACAAAATACATTTAAACTGAAAGAGGTGCCCTCCATTGAATAACCGGAAACGGAAATAAAGATGAAGCCATCGTGTCAACCTGTCAATTGAAATATAGTTCTCCAGACGACAACGAAGGTTTTCGGTGGCGTATCGTGTTTCCACAATTTAACACAGAGTTGGCACTTCTTTCTAGTTAATTATTTTATGGCACAACCTAGCAAGAAAAAAAGTGACAAGGATCGCGCAAACACCAAAAAACATTTGATTTAAAACTAAGAAAAGTATTATAATAAACTTGATACTAGGGAATGCAATCCCGCAAATGCGGGATCCCTCTAAGATTCCGCGGGATCAAAGTTGCGGGATTTACCGTGCGGGATCTGCGGGATCGACACATTACTACTGGGTAACCGAATTGATCTCAATCATGATCAAACCGCTACGTTCCGGGCCGATGCATCGACGCTCGGAACCCTGGGGATTCCCCTTACGGCTTGGCCATTAAAAATAAGTGAAACAAACAGGTTAGTTGGTAGATTTCTTTCTGGCGTTTAACTAGTACTTGTCGACAGTTTCGTCAAATAAACCGCCGGAGATAATTATCGAGACAAGCAAAATTTTAGAGTAAATTTAAAGTTGAATATCACTTGAAGTAAAAAAGATTTTTGGATGCGGTTTGGACCAGGTTTTAAATGCATCTATTGTGATTAAGATGCTATGTGGTTTTCGAAAATATATTTAGTGAATTCTCGTATACAGGGTGTTTTATAAGAGTGTGAAAATTTGGTTAAGAATCTTTTTTACCACAAATTTACAATTTTTAAAAAATCGATATTTTTACCAAGTACGACTAATCTGTATTGAAATTAGAAAAAACAATTTGATCGGTTTTTTATTTTTTTTTGTTTTAAGGAAAATACGACGTTTTTTCGAATAATATGCATTTTTAGTCATATGTATGGTCCTAAATGGTACAAAAAGCTTTGTACATTCTGCATATGCCAAAAAATTATTCATATAGAGTGTATCTAAAAGCAGATAACTAACACAAGTTAAAAAAACTTCAACATTAGAATAATATTTTTATTTATAAAATTATAATAAAATTTAAGTTTATTTAATATTAAATATATTTTTGTATGTATAATATAAAATTTTGTATGTATAATATTAAATATATTTTTGTATGTATATAATGTATTTTGTTTGTATAAAATGACTGGAAAGCACTATAAATACAAATTGTTGGTTAGGTTCAAATTTTTTCTCTTTTTAAATAAATTTATGCGTTAACTACATATTAGGCATTTGGGCAACAGCCCAGCTACGTCGAAACACCGGTTCCCATTAGAACACCGAAGTTAAGCGACGGAAGGCGATGCTAGTGGATGGACGGGTGACCGGTTCGAAACTTTGCATCGTGCTGTTGTCCAAGGGAAAAGTGTAAAATCTATTGATACACACTGCTTATTCACGCCGGTTCAAGGCCGGATGAGATCGGATATCTCGTGAGTAAGAGTTAATTTAGACACTTCCTAAGTCGGTAGGCCATTGACCATGATATGGCCGAGGACCGCGGTTCGGATTCCGCGTAAACAAAGTAGGTCCCGTCCAGTTTAGCCATTGCAGCAGAAAGGAGACGTTAACTTGAACCTCACACATATTAGGCATTTGCATAAAAGTGTATATTTTGGGTGGTATTTCACAAAATTTGCAGGCTATTTGGGAAACAGAAAATGTACCGATTACAGAAATAAGTTGAAAATAACATTTGTATTAAAGCATTATATGTCACTTTATCAAACATGTCCTTCAAATCCTTCTAGTTAATAGCTGTTAGTAAGAAGTTTCACTTCAAATATGCGCACATAAAGCACACTCATTTTTTTTAACTCGCACGTTACTTTAATTAAATATAGGGACAGTAAATATTTTTTGGGTTGTTTGTATATTTAAACAGACATATTAAATAATTAGTTCTTACTCAAAGAATTTAGAAATCTGAATACTTAATAGTCATCAACATTTAATAAAATAGAAAATTTAAAGTCTCAAGATCAGTTTAATACAAATTATTGTTACTATTACTATTATATTTTTAGAGTTATTTTAGGTAACACCGAGGGTAACACAGTTTCAACCAGAATATTTTATTATAATATATCTGGATATGATTCGCATTTCGTATTTCACCCATCGTTTAAGTGTAGAGCAACAATATTTTGATTCGGTGCTAAACGTTTACTTATTTAAAAAAAGTTTACAGTCCAAACACAAATTCGAAGAAAAATTATTAGTTACAAACCAAAACATGATTTTGTATTAACATTTTTATGTTTCAGGAAGTTACTTCTGCTTTACCAGTTTAGGCACAATAGGGTTTGGAGACCTACTTCCTGGTCAAAAAGCTGACGAGGTGTCCCTTTGCGCATGCTCGGCTTACATTTTGACTGGAATGGCCCTAGTAGCTATGTGTTTCAGTCTGGTCCAGGATGAAGTAATAGCGTTGTTAAGGTAAATGATACTTAATTAATAACTAATTGATAATAATCGGTGATTCAACAGACTGCATAGTACTCTGAAACATTTAAAATATGATTTTTGTTATGTTTTTGAGGTATATCGGAGCTTCGTGTTCGAAGAACACTCCTAAAATTAAAAACGACGAAGAGGCTGTGACATCGCTGCCTGGTTCTTGACAACGACCTACGACGGAGGGTGCGGCTCCGTCAAAAATGGCAGGCAGAAGATCACCGCCAGTCCTACATCATAACAGCCTACCTAGAAAAAGTAATTTCCACAGAAACACGCCGGCGAGAAGATCTGCTGCCGGTTATGGTAAGAATTGTATTATCTAATTATCATAGCAATCATTATAGAATGTAAATTTGATATCAATTAAACTTTTAGTGATGCAATCGAAGGCGCGATTTTTAAATTCATTGTTGCCAACCATGGACATATTTCGGCGCCGGGCTGACTAACTTGAATTTAAATTTCGCGCTGGAGATTCAGGTGGTAGCTCTGCTGTAAACAATATCAAGTTGTCAGGTTTATTTATTTTATTTCCTAATATTTTCATTCGTTTTTATTTAGTTTTTGGTTTAAATAAATAGTGTTGTGATACTTTAAGCTTAAAAATGTTTACTAGCAGACCTCGCAATAGAACATTGTTCTTTTTAGAACCCCTTTTAGTGCGAAGTGTACAAGATAGCTTGATAGTCGTAAAAAAACTCATCACAACTTTATTAGAATATTTTGAACGGGAAAGCGGTAGTAATGGCCCTTTATGTCGCTTAAGTGCTGTTAAAAACGTGAGTTTTGTTGATGTAAATAATAACTGTTTATAATATTTATAATTAATTTATTTTTGTTTCCTAAAATATTTTGATTAAAAGAAAATATATAAAAGTGGGCAACTCTGTGCCGGTAAAGCTTAATCACGTGACTAAAAGTTTATTTGGTATGAACTGTAGAATTTTATACCTTAAAAGTTGGTTAATTAATGTTTAATCTTATTTTTTTAAAGCAGTATCTTTTTACCTTATCTCTCTAAAGTAGTAAAAGCGATTGTTACGTTTTTCCTCGTTTCGTTGTGACGAGGCTGTACAGCCAAGGCACACAAAATCATTCATACTCCGAATAGAACATCCTATTTTTTTCAAACGCCACAAATAATGTTTTAACCAATTTCAAACATTCCAAATAATATAAAAAGATTTAAAAGTCATACCTTGTATGTAATTATTTATCGAGAAACTACGGTTACGCTTGTTGAATTTGACTGTTTATGTCAGTATATAATGGTATATACCTAAACACTTACTATTTGATCCTTCGGAACATGCTTCGGCGCCATATGCATTTGGGCATCTTTTTTGTAATTCTTACGGTAATTCGTCAGCCAGTAACACAACACTTAAAAATCATATTCTTCAGTTAAAAAAATATGAAAAAACAAAAGAACATATTTTAAAACAATAAACAAACTTAAAAACAACAGCAAATTTAAAACACGATCTACGAATAACGGGCAAAATAAAATATAAATTGATAAATGTTGACTGGTTAAATTTTATATTTGAAGGTAAAAACAGGTAAAAATTTAAGTTTTGTAAAATTTTATTGCTAATTGCGCCCCCTCGTGCGTCTAGTAATGGACTATCGGCTACAACCTGTCACTTCCATAAGAGTTTCCTAGGCATGTTTTATGCCTAGGCGTTAAAATGACTTTTTATATTGTCAATCGCGTCAAAAAAAAATAATATTTTTGTGACATTTGAAAAAAATATATTTTTTTGTAGGAGCTGAACCACTGATAGAATACTTCGTGCCACGTAGCATGAGCGAGTTTGACTTGTCCATAGCAGCAGGGGATTCCCCGCCAGTGCCAAACTTTCTTCCTTTAACAGTCAGAGCTCCCAGAAAAATGAACAACGCCAACGCCAAACAAAAAGAGAAAATGGTCACCTTTGAAGATGAGATGGCTTCCAGATTAGGTAACACTATTAACGAAATGCTCTAGAATTTTCTTTGTCATCTGGTTTTCTTTTTTAGTTTGATCTATATATACCCTTAGTGTCAGCCATGTTAATCCCCCATCGCGATCCACCCAAGATTGTTGATATGCTCCTTTCTTAATATTTTTATTCAAAAAATTTATTTCATCTTTTGTAATATCCAAAGTCAAATATAAATAATACCTATAGAACGAAAATTATTAAAAAGCCCTTTTCAAGGTTAGACATATTTGAATAGAAAAATATTTTCATAAAGAAATGAAAATTAGATTTAAAAATAGAGTACAAAGAACGTCCAAGTCTCTAAAATATTTTCTTAATAAGCTCTTCTATATATCCCTTTCTGTTGGAGCTAGGCATTTTAATCGATTTTCTTATTACAACTTTTATGATATCAATTTCTACTCAGAATAAGTGAAGTTCGTCTGCCATAATTTTAATAAAGAGTAGAAAAATGAAAAGAATCTAAAATCTTAAAAAGTGCATTCTATAAATAAATCTGCTTTTAAGAAAAATAAGTGTGAATGAAAATAGGATGCTCTTTTGAGTAAAATAAAAAATAAACATAAAACAATCATTAATAGCTAATTTTAACAACTTTTCAAAAGCAAAATAAAACAGTAATTCACCACAAGAAACCAAAACACTTTACTTTTGCACTGGACTCGTGTTTCGCTAACCATGTTAGGATCATCAGCAAATGATTAAAACTAACGATAGATTGCCATTTCTAAATATATTAGTTATTAGAAATACTAATAATTTTACAACGCTACACACAGATAAATTCCTAATGAGTCTTATCATAGTGTTGAATATAAGATGGCTAGTTTAAATTTCTTAGTTCATTCATAGACTACTTAGGTTTCCACTTACCCCAATCACAGAATATCTAGCTACGCAACAGAAGCCTCGTTACATGTATAAAATTGTAGGTAGCAAAAGGAGACAGGCTTTAAAAGCCTGTCTCCAAATCAGATATTTTGATGTGGTAGTTTCGCTACTACATAATAGAGGGCAATAAATTTAAAAGAAAACAGTTTTCTACAAACAAAATTTAAAAGAATTTTGTGCAGTGTTGCCATTGTGTAATTCATATCGTAATACTTCCTGATAAAGCCTACCTTCAAATTTGCTACATCATTTAAACATATTAAAATAGATCAGAGCTGTTTTTTTCAGTTTGCCATGTTAGTTGGAATTAAATCTTATGAGCTAAATTACAATCACTTCCTGACGTTTGATTGTATAATTGAATCCTGAATTTTCATTGTAATTCGGCGACAATATAAGTATTGTTCTACTATTATGATACCACTTCCTGACGTTCAATTGTGTTCATACCAAGTTCATATCGTATAATCGGAAAAAACGGCGTTAGCGATAGCTATGAAATGAATATCGCTGTCATTTTATATGTAAATTTATATGGGAAATGTCATCGATCGTCCTTTTTCAGCCAACTGGACGCCGTTTTTTTCAGAAGCATATCAAGTGATACCATAATATAGTACTATATTACGATACATGGCGTTCGATTGGGCTTAAACTTGGTATACTATATCTTCAGTGACATTGTAATATCATGGTACCATGGAGCATATAAAGTGGTACCTTCTATAGTACCATATTTGATGACATAGCAATATTAGGTATATGGCGGCAATAGGGCTTAAACTTGGTATACTACGTATTTTCGGTGATATTGTAATATTATGGTACCATGGAGCATAATACGAGGTACCATAATATAGTACCATATTACGATGCCATTTCCTGGCGTTCGATTGGGCTTAAACTTGTTATACTACGTATCTTCGGTTACATTGTAATATGATGGTACTATGATGCATATAAAGTGGTACCTTAATATAGTACCATATTTCAATACCATTTCCTGGCGTTCGATTGAGCTCATATTTGATATATACTTGCGTATTTTTGATGACATTGCATTATTATGGTACCATGAAGCATATCAACTGGTACCATAATATAGTACTATATTAGGTACATGGCGTTCGATTGGGCTTAAACTTGGGATACTACGTATTTTCGGTGACATTGTAATATGATGGTACTATGATGCATATAAAGTGGTACCTTAATATAGTACCATATTACGATACCATTTCCTGGCGTTCGATTGGGCTCAAACTTGGTATACTACGTATCTTCGGTTACATTGTAATATGATTGAACTATGATGTATATAAAGTGGTACCTTAATATAGTACCATATTACGATACCATGTCATGGCGTTCGATTGTTCTTAAATTTGGTATACTACGGATCTTCGGTGACATTGCAATATTATGGTACCTTAAAGCATATCGAGTGGTACCATAACATAGTACACTATTATGATATTATTTCCTGTAGTTCGATTGGGCCCAAATTTGGTATACTTGCGTTTCTTTATAAAGATTTGTTTAATTAATAATTTTAATTTATTTTACGAATTTTAATTTATTTTAATTTATTGTTCGATGTCGTGACAGCAACTTTTATGCCGAACTAATATATTATTAATTGTACCTGTGTCACTTTTTAAAATCTACCTAGGTCTATATAAATAACGTGGCAAACAGAAGAAATTTGTTATTATAGTATTTTTAGTCAGTTAACATTTTTTGTACTGCATTTTAATAAATTATTTCCATTATTATTAAACTTATATTTCATTACTAACGTTCCAGCATTAATAAATATCACTATCAATCGCCCTGTCTATTATTAATTTTAAAGGTAATTAAAGGTATTTTCTTAGTTAACATTATAAGGTAGTGTATATAAAAAATGTATATGTTTTGTAATAATATACTTAAAACTATTTTAATAGCCAAAGGAATAATTAATATAAGTGTATCTGACAAGAAAAGATGAATAGAAAGAAACACATACTGCATTATACATAATAAAGAGAATGGGATGCCAATTCAAGTCTTTTTGAATCTGGCAACTGTGCATATTTAGCCGAGCTATAAGGCCGTCGACGAGCCGTCGATCCAAAACCGAAAGTTCAAAATTTCTAATTATATTCTGATTATGACATTGCCGCGCCATCTAGTATTCTATTTGTGCAATTTTAGCTCTTTCATTTCGAGTATTTTTCTGTTGCGTAGCTAGATATTCTGTGCCCCAATGAAAGATTGAGAGAATAATGAAATAGAAAGAAATTACATTAGGAATGTAGCTGAATGTTATGGATATTCTTCTTAATTAGTTAATAAACTAATTACAAAACACAAAACGTAGGTATAAGTTTGCGATTTGAATTGAACAAAAAAAATTAGAGACCATTTTTATGTAAAATTGAGCGCTCGATCTACAACTTTTATTTGAACTTCTTTTTCTAATCCTTACCGTTTCTCCGAAATTTTGAAAATATAATTTTATTTATTTATTTCACCCCTTTTCGGGGGTGAATTTATAATAAGTATTTACCGAAACTTCGTATTTGAAAGTGATTGGACTATAAAGATAAAACACCTCCACTGGTAGGGTCGGGTATTTATGAAATGTCATTTAAAGATTGTAATGAGAAATATGTTGGAGAAACTAGAAGATCAGTATGAACTAGATTTAAAGAACATATAGCTCAGATATCGTATGGTAGATCGGATAAATCTTGCGTTGTTCAACATATTGTTGAGAAAAATTATTGTATAGATATTAATAATTTAAAATTAATTAAACAATTCGCAAATTACAGGCAATTAGATGCATATGTGAGCGTCAAAATTAATAAACGTAAAGATAATATGCACAGAGATAATGATCCAATTCCTTCCACCTTCCAGTTCCCTTCCCCTATTGCTCTAGTCTCGATAATTAGTTGTTACACTCGGTTGCTCTTAATTGGGACGCTCGCTATATAAAAGCTCATTTGTAGATATTACTTTAGTTTTAATCATCTACTAATGATGCTAACATGGTTAGCGAAACGCACGTCCAGTGCAAAAGTAAAGTGTTTTGGTGTATTGCGGTGAATTAGTGATTTATTTTGCTGTTGTATTGTAACACCAAAGCTTCCAACCCCTTGAAAACTCTTCAGTAGAAATTATGCTAACGTCTTTTTAATTTATACGTTTTCAGGCAAGACTGCAGATCTCCAAGACGTGTTCATGTGACAAAAGGGATAGCAATTACTGAAAGACGTTAAGCTGTCGGATTTAGGCAACCTTGACGCCGTCAAAAAAGAACTGAAAGCATTTAAGAACTTCAAATTGTGCGAAGACTTGAAAAAGTGCGAAGACAATTGTTCGTGTAACACCGAGCAAGATTGTGATATATGTAAAGTGCTCGACTTCACACTAAAAAAGGACAAGTTATAGTTGAGGGTGTTGCTGGATAGCAGTGACGACAATAGTGATAAGCAAGATATAGACTTGGACATTAGCCCAGGCATTGATGGGTAAACAAATATCTTGTAAATAATGAAGAAATAAATTCTTTGGCCTTGAAAATATTGTCTGAATAAATGTTTGTATATATGATAAATAAAATAGTACTAATTTGAGATATGTTTGTCATACAATGATATTAATAATTTTTTGTATATGGAATTTTATAGATAGATATAAAATAAAAATATTGAATTTGGACTATTCTTATTGTTTTTAATAGAATAGCAAATACTAAAATCTGTCGAAATCTTTCCTGATTCGCTGGGCAGACTTTACAATAACTTTTTATTTCTATCAAAAATAAACAATACGGAAGTCCAAAACCAACTTTTTTATCAACGGTACTTTTTGTATTCTACTTTCTAAGAAAGATATACTTACATAATGTTTATTACATCAAAACGTTTGTTTTCCTAATAATTGTACTATATATGTATATTTTATTTAACAAAAATTGAAAAAAAACAAACACAAAACTAATCAGATGGAAATAGAGATCTAAGGTCTAAATTAAAGTTAGAAATGGCACCTATAACTTCACAAGCAACGTTTTCAAAAATCTTTATATAAAAACATTAGGACCGTTTAAAATATGATTTACAAAAAATAACTAACAATACAAATTCATCATAGTAGGCCAAGGAAGTAAAAATATTTATAAATATGTTATTGTTCACAACTAAAAGAATGTTTTCAATGATCATTTAATACTACGTCATCTATTGTGGTACTCCCTCTTAGGACACTACTTGAAAATCGGATGACGTCATTCCGGCATTTCGTGCACGCTGTTTTTGGTAATGGTCATTTGCTTTGAAATTATAGTTTTGTATACGTTATATCGACCAATGTGAAAATAAAAATATAGATTACTCTGTCAAATGAATTCAACTTTTATTCTTACTAAAATGCCTCGTCTATTTAGCGTGAACGAACAACCTCTCATTGCAAATAAAAAAAATTATTTAATTTTTATTTAATCAAAAAACTGAACTCGCTCAATAATTTCGGAACGCACTTAAAATTTTCTAACTACCTAAAACGCGTACATATTTTATAAATGATGACATACCATTGGATGATTTTTGTAAGTCAATATTAAATAATTTATACTTTGGTATTTTTTAAAAAAGCAAGAAAAACATTAAAACATTAATTATTATTATTTTTAATAAGCATTAAAAATTATAGCAAATGTTAAGTAAAAATAAGCACCTTATTTGTTTTAGCAATAAAAATAAGAATGAAAAAAAATAAACCTGCTTTCCAATTTATTTTGATAACAAATATCAAATTTATTGCAATGGGTTATAGAAAAAATACAATCATTCTCGCCGCGTATTGCTTCTAAAGTAAACGAGTACCAGTAAAGACCTCGAAAACACATATTATCTAATAGTCCCCCATACACCAGAAGATTTATCTTGCCGACTGGGCCTGAGACATTTCCGCTTGTGGGCGGACCAAGTATGTGGCAGACCAAATCCGCAGACTTGATCTGTGAGATTAAGCAGTATTTTGAACAACTAACTGTTAACTATTTGAGACCCCCAAAACACGTATTCTCTAATAGTCCCCCATACACCAGAAGATTTATCTTGCGGACTTGGCCTGAGACATTTCCGCTTGTGGGCGGACCAAGTATGTGGCAGACCAAATCCGCAGACTTGATCTGTGAGATTAGAGCAGTATTTTGAACAACTATCTGTTAACCATTTGTCATGGTATTTTTTTATTTAGCTAACTTATTTAATAATCGGAATGTAAATGAATAAGTGTAAAAAAATTCAGTAGTTGTATGAAGATTTCTGTGGAAATCATTATAGAAGAAAAAATCAGTAGGGTTGATTATGGTGCCCCAAACATCAAAAGCAATCATTTCTTGATTTCTACAGTTATTCATTTTACACCCTATAATTTATTGAACAGTTGCCAAAAAGCAGCATGACTAATTTTATTGTAAATAGTGTATATAAAAATAAAATTAATAACAAACTATACATAGTTTTTTTTCCTAAATTATAAGAATTTGTGATAGTTGTGTAAAACTTGAACCTATAAATTTTCCTAACAGAGTAATATAAAAAAATAAAAAATATGTACAATAGCTTTTTCATAAACTTTATTGTCAATAAAACTCATATTAGTATACCTATTGAACAAAAAAATCTTTTATTTGCCCTATAGACTATTTTAGCATAAAATACAATAAATACACATGTTTAAAACAATACGAGATTAGACAAATATCACATACCCAAATACAGCATAATAATATAAACTAGCTATCCAAGCTTAAGACCTTATCTAAATAAGTATAAAGTTTGATGTTAATCTTCAAGAGGTTATGTCCAATACAGCTTTAAAAATAATCCACAGTTATTGAAAAGATATTAAAGTTTTAAATTCAAGTTTACAATTTTTTTTATTGCTATTAGAATAAATAAATATACTGATTGTATATTTTCCAATAATATTATGAATTTGCCATAACTTACAATCACAATATATATTTTTCTAAGTAACTCATACTTAAATATAGCATGTCAGTATTAAGTATAAAATCCATAAGTGTTCTATCAAAACTCGAAAATTTTATGACAGAAAGAAATTAAGTAATAATAATTAATTAAATAATTTTAAAAATGCAAACTCTAAGTACATCATAGAAAAAGAGTAAAAACATAAAAGATATTCTTCATAGATTATATTTATATAGTCACTCATGAGAATATATTTTAACTGTTAAAATAATACAGAATTCTGTCAGGGTTTGGACGTTATATCTATCACAGAGTTTTGCAAGTTTTACCGGAACATTTCTTAAATTTATTTAAAATATTGTTGTAATACCTGATTAATTTAGAATTCATCTTAGAAAAAACGTTGCGCAATTCATATGGGTCCAACGACAAATTGTAGGCTTCATAAAAACGCTAAAATATAAAAAGTAGTATCAGAAAGATAAGACAAATAAGTTCTTAATAAAATTTATGGACATTAAGAAAAAAATATATAACTTTTCTACTAATAATTATTATTATCTTCCCCTAGGGGATGCAAGACCTTGTCGTTGGTGGGGAAGCTCCTGATCAGGTGCTGGGGGAATCCCCCTAGCGCTTGGTCTAACAAGCATCTCACTCATCGTCTTGTACCTGGCTGTAGTGTCGTGGCCAGGGAATTGCACCAAGACGTAACGATGCCGGACAAGGCTATCCCTGTCCGTCATACCAGGCACCCTCTACTGACTGTGGTCATGACTCGCGGGTGGAGGGTGTGAGGGGGTTTTGACTTAACCAATTACCGCCTGGACCAAGAGGAGACAACCTCACCAAAAACCTAAATCCTATGATGGCGGGACCAGGTCAAAGGGATGCGTGGCTAGATAGAGGACTAGCCATTACTGGCCTCAACCTTGGGGCATTAAGGGGCACACCATTGTATTTACCCCTAACTTCTACATGCGGGGCTCTGTAGAAGTGGACCGACTATCCCTAGCGACTCGTGGGAACACTATAAGATCTAGCATTAAAAACACCACCGGTGAAGCTGTGGGAAAGCCCCCTAGCGACACTGGGAACATTACAAATGAAAGTTCCAAGGGGCCAAATCCAAAGGAAACTACAAGAGGGGCGGCTGACACTTGCTTGGGATCATCCTCCACAAGTGGCACACAAGCTACCACCTTCTCCAGCAAGGGTCGGGAGCCTACCTCTAGACCCAGTAAGCGACACAAGCTACCGTTTCGGCTATCCGGCCTGGGTCAACCAGGGGGGCTAGACTCTGAGAGTAGGTCTTAGCGGAGCAGAAGCACAGAGTTATCTCCGACTGCTCCACGAAGGACTTGCTCTAGAGGAAGCAAAAGCGAAAACACTCTTCCGAAAAGGGGAAAGTAAAGAAACCAAGAAACAACCTGACTCATCTCCATCAAAGGGCAAGAGAGGGAGCGAGAACCTCTCATATCTTTCCGGCAGGGAGAGAAAAAAGTCAGGATGGAAAGCCGTCCAACACCGGGAAGCAAGCAGGGACGTATCACCAGCTTCGACGCTATTGCTCGACAAGTGAAAATGGTGGTGCTGCCAAAGGATTTCCAGGAGGTTGCTCTGACCACCGACCAGCAAACGCCTCTAGAAGAGGCTATACTGGACGAAGTAGTGGCGATCGGATCGCAAAACAACGATCTACAAAATGTGGTTCAGCTGCGTTTTGCGGCGATACACTTTCGAGATGCCAAGTGGGCATGATCCTCATAGATTGTGTATCTCAAGAATCAGCGAATTGGTTGGTGGAAATCGCACCTAAGCTTAAAAATTGGCAAGGTCCGGAACTGGTTGCAGTGAAGGGAGAAAACATTCCTAAAGGGGCGGCCATCACGGTCTTTCTGCCGAGAAGCAAAAAGAAAGACACCACCTACCTGCTGAGCCTTATCCAGGGTCAGAACTTCAATGTAAGGACATCGAGTTGGCGAGTCATCAACTCGAGGGAAGAGGGTCATGGTCAGGTCCTCACAATAGGAATTGACCTCAAATCCAAGGAGGCAATAGAGAAAGAGGGACATATCCTCTATTATAGATACGGGACAACACCGGTATCAGGTCTAAGGAGAGACGAAGTTAAAGAGGTGGAGAAAATGGAGACAGATCCTCCAGCCTCCACCTCACGACTGTGTGTACCCTCGGAGGAAGAACTGTTGTCAGAGGAGGATGGGAAATACCCTGTCCCCTCTACAACAGGGGTATGATGGGTTGTGGACTGTGTGATGACTCAAGGAAGGGGGGCACACAACAGATCTTTAAGGTCGCAGTGATCAACCACCCCTCTTACTCATTCTACATTCTACAATAATTATTATCAATATATACATATAGTCTATTCCTACCTCGGTTTCTGCAAATCTACAAAACTTGAATCTGAGTTCTTCCCGAAAATCTATAACACAAGAATATGTGTTATTCCTGCTGTCTTGGCATTTGCACCAACTGTTAATGCTGCATCCCTATTAAAAAACACGCAGTCTATTAAATAAATTAGTCAATACTATCTTTATATTCATTATGCATAATCATCAAGGGGCTTAAAAAAATTAATCCAATTACGTCAGTGCCATAAAATGTTGAAAAACAAATGAAAGAACTATTTTTTTTCTGGTCCCTTAAGTAATTGTCTGACCAAATTATCGCCGGTAGTGCCAGTTACGATTCTTGTTTTTACGAAACATAATTGTACATGTGGTTCGTTCACATGAATGAATCGTAGGAGTCGATTCAATTTCTCATATTGAATTCGATTACTATAAAAAATCGTAATGCCCATCACTACTGAATACTTAAATTTACTACTAGCTAATAGACATTTAAAAACCCTATAATGGGCCCTTCATATAGGGAAATTAAAATAACTTTCATTGCACATCACAATACAACCACCAGCAAACTCCATAAGACGACGCATGGTGTCATTGATGACGTGCAACAAAAGTTGTTCCAATTTCCCTATATGTTACCAGTAGTAAACCAATCAATTACCAAACCTACCGTCACATTTGAATCATAGTTCCACGGACATCCGTTATCTGTGGTTTTCTCTCCACCCTCTCCCCAATACTCGACGAAAACAAATTTGAACCCAATGGCGGTTTTCTTGTTCATAAGCTGCTTCTTGAAACTCCTTCCGTCCATGTGGTGCGGCGATTTGACACCCGCCAAGTGGAGTATAGTCGGCGCTATATCAACAGAAGAGACAGGATAGGGCTCCAAGACTCTCTTTGGAACCCCCGGACCACTCACAATCAAAGGCACTCTGGTGTCAGCTTCGTAGGGCTGGCGTTTGTCCCAGGGTTGGCCAAACTGACCTGACAACAAATTTGGAGCAAGTGTGTCATTTCATAGTAACATAGGATATGCAGGTACTTACCTATATGAAAACCGTTATCCGAATTGATTATGACGTAGGTTTTATAAAATATTTTTAGTTTTTTTAATTGTAAAACTATTCTTTCGATCATATCGTCGACGGCTAAAAGAGTTTGCAAGCGTCTTCTTTGAATGTTATCCAGAATAGTAATATTGGTGGGTAGTCTACGAGGAGGCATTTTTAGTAGCCAATGTTTCTGTAAAAAATTGAAGTCAAATAAAAATTAAATATCACCGATGGGTAGAGATGTTGAAAAAGTAACTACTCGTTACTCATCGATACCTGAAGTAAGGAATTTAAAACCATATCGTTACTTTGATTACTATTATTACTTATAGTATTTAACATTTATCATGGCTCATACTTATACGTAATATGTATAGTATTGCATTTTAAAAATGGTTTTCTACGACTAGCCTAGAAAATACAGTTTAACACACGGAAAACTCGATCTGAAATTGGAGGTTTTGTCAAACTGTCGTGTGCTAAGGATTTAGCTATTTTTTTAAAAATTTAAAATCTGTATGAGTATGAAATTTTGCAGGTACGCTCCTTGGGTGGCGTAAATAAGCACTACTCTGAGGGAATGAAATAAAAGTTTTCAAATCTGTCCTAGATATAAATCTGTCCTATAATGCACAGCCGAAACTGCTTGACATAGAAACACGAAATTTGGCAAATGTATTCCTTAAGTGATGTAAGTGAGCACTAAGAAGGGATTTTTGGAAATTCGGTCGCTAAGTGGTCGAAATTAGGGATAGAAGCATAAAAAGTTGTTAGAATCTGTTCTAGAAGTACGAAATTTTGCACAGCGGTCTCTTAAGCGGCATAATTGAACAGTAAGAAGCGATTTTCGGAAATTCCTTAAGGGGGTGAAACTACCGAAACTAGGGGTGGAAGTTTGTAGATTTTTTTTTAAATTTGTCGTAGGAGTATAAAATTTTGCACAGAGATTGTGGCGAAAGTGGATACTCGATTTTTGGAAATTTATACCCTACGAGGGTAAAGTTAGGGGTAAAAGTTTGTACAAAAATTTATTAAAATCCATAGACTTAAAATAAAATATAGACTACACTATTTACATCTCAACGCGGTCAAACAATCTTTTTTGTACACATGTTTACTTCTGGGTACAGTCGACCGAGCCTTCCTCATCCAGCCTATGTTGTCACGTCTTTAATATTATCAATATTTTTTTTCTTGTTATACACATAATATATTGAGTTATTAATACTACAGTTTAATAAAGTAGGTTTTAATATTCCATAGATGTATTAAATAGTCCTTATACTACTAAATTATAAGTCGGATACTGTTTAAAAAGGATAAGTTCTTTACAATATGACAACACCGATTAGCGAGGGAGCCTATTCGTTCATTTATTACCTTGTAGTACGCGTCGCACGTGTGCGGTAAAGCTTTGTTGCCGCTATGTCCCCGGCTGTATTAACGCATTTTCTTAGCTTGTAGTCAGTCCTTAAGTGTTTATTTTATTGACTTTTTCTGTTCAAGAACTATAAAATATGGTTCGCCAGTGCCAAATTACAATAACAAAATATGTTAATTAATAAAAATAATAATAACAATACATTGTAACAAAATCATAATTATAACCCTGTTAATAATTAATAATGTTTTTATTAAAAATATATTCCGGTTTATTATACAAGAATTTTAAAATGATATTACATTATGAAACAATATTTTTTAATATACCGGGTCGTCTCAAAAGTGGCTCACCCCTATAACTTTTTTATTGACATATTCAATTGTTTTTGGTCTCTTCCTGTTTCACCGAAATGATTACATCTTTTGATTTTTAAAGGCACCCTTGGTATATTGCTACTTTATTCGATAAAAAATGACACTCTGAATAGAATGACATATCATATGTCAACTTTTGACATTGTCGCTTAAACACAAATCGTATTTTAAATTTCAATCCAGGGTGCCATGGTGTTGTTAAAAACACTAAGTTTTAATCAAGGAGCCTTGGAAAAATAGTTTTGGTCGTCTAATAGGTTTCATGTCTTGTCTAGGCCGGTTAAAAGATGTACAAATGGTATTTTTAATCACACATATGTCAATTTTTTCAAATGGAACAAGGGTGACTCATTAGCATATTTGGAAAAAGCATTTTTTTATGAATATATTGGTACCACACACTTGGTATTTCGAGTCAAATTGTCGTTATGAACCGCGTTATGAACCGCGTGTTAACAATTAAAATTAAACCATATGCGAAAATGTCAAAAGTTGACATATGATATGTCATTCTATTCAGAGTGTCATTTTCTATCGAATAAAGTAGAAAGTAGGTTTTACTTTCCTTCCGCGGGTGCCGTTTAAAAATTAAAAGTTATAGTCATTTCCGGTGAAACAGGAAGTGACCAAAAACATTGAAACGTCAATCAATCCTAATTTATGTCATATACTAACATACTAAATCTTGTTTTTTTATTTGAAAATATAAAAAAATTATGGGGATGAGCCACTTTTGGGACGCACCCGGTATAATAAAGGACAGTACCGAGTTAAATAAATGTAGTTTTCATTTTATCCACTTGATATATGTTTTCTCTAATTTACATAATAAGACATCACTTAACCAGAAAATAAATTACAACAATCATATTTTTTTTTCTCTCCCTGTCGCCGATTCTATTATATCTGTGGAATAGATCCTGTTTTGATTAATATTAGGGGTTGTAAATGTTTGACTAAAATTAATAATTTATTATTATTAATTTCAAAAATTACGTAATTTCGATTATAAAATTTCTTCTATAACGTGTATTTTATTATTTTTTTCCTTTTTGGACTTTAAGACGTTTTTTCTAAATTTTTATTTAAAAAAGCCTGTCCTAAATCTTAATAAAATATAAAAAAGTTTAAATACGATATATTTTTAATTTAATTATAGCTTCATTAAAATAAAAAAATTACCCGGCTATGATACGGAGAGTTCAGGTGTACTTGAGAAACGAAAGACAGTGTTGTGTTTCTCGGCAGAGTCGTCAGGGAACGACCGTTACGACAGAGACAACCTATCTATCGCTCGTGTCGCACTCGTTATAACCTAAAACAATAACACAACAATAACAAGACATTGTCTGACCGCATGTTCCAGCTATTTATGAATGAGATGCTCAGTCTATATTTTATTTTAACTCTATGTTAAAATCGCTTCTAAAAGTATGACATTTTGCACAGAGGTTTCTTAGGTGACGTAATTGAACACTGAGGAGCGATTTCTGGAAATTCACACATAAATAAGGGGATAAAACTGGTTGCGAAATTTTGTATATATTTTTTTAAATTAGTCCTAGGGGTATAATATTTTGTATAGAGGTTTCTTAAGTGGCGAAAGTGAGTACTTAGAAGCGATTTTTTTGGAAACTCACCTCCTAAGAAGGTGAAATAAGGTGTGAAAGTTGTCTCAAAAATTTGTTTAAATAGGTTTTAGAAGTATGAAATTATGCGTAGAAGTTCCTTAGGCAACGTAAATTAAAAAACGTGGGTACTAAGAATCTATTTTTCAAAATATGTCCCTTAAGCAGGTGAAATTAGACACAAAGGTTGGCAGCAGTTGACAAAATTGACAGCAATACCAAAATCAGTAAAAAGTAATCATAGTAATCAAAGTAACGGATATTTGAAATGATTACTTAGTATTCGAGTAACGATTAGTAATGAGTAATCAAAAGTAACGAAAATCAACATCACTACTGATAGTACTGATGGGCCTGATGGAAGACAAAATATTAACTATAGTCTGTCCAACGAGAGGATTTATGACATTAACAGTTATGTGTGTCATTTTAATTGACAGGAAAATTTATTTTCTGTCATTTTTTGTCGTCTGTTGTAATTTTCTCTGACCCTAGCTGGTTGGACAAACTTTATACAGAGTGCGACAATAGTGCGTCGGACATTTATAGTTCCTACGTAGAATAAAAAAACTTGCGAATTTTGTTTAAGTGCAAACCTATGTACGAGGATATATTTCAGGAAAATATTTTAACTTCTATAGGGTGGCTGAAAAAAGTATGAGTGAATCGGGATGATTTTTTTTTTAATGGAAGACTTTATGTATTATAGCATTTTTGGATTCCTTTCTGATCACTTTACATAATCCTAAGAAATGAGTAAATATATTTTTATCCACGACTCGCCTTTAATTTGATTATTACACAAGAGTTTATAAAATAATAATAATATTCATTATTCACTAGTGAATAATGGTTTCATTATTCACCGCTTCCACGGATGTCTCGATCCAAACTCCAAACAAGAGCTGTGCTCGATCCAAACCGGCTTGGGATGCGATTGTACGCACAAAATAAAAAACAAAGGTGGCTATGAAAGCAGTGAATGGCCACGTCACGTTGCGTTGTCGCGCTGTTGTGGATATTTTTTTGACATTAAAAATAAAAACTTATATTAATATTATCTAATTTTTTTATAGTCCTGGATAAAGTATAGTATTCTACTTGCATATAATGGCTGTTATTCACTTGGATGATTTATGATAAACTTCATCCGCGTGAATAACAGCCACCATTATATGCTCGTTGAATAATATTATACTATTATACTATATACCAGAGATATTAATAAATAAATAAAAATACATGTTTTTCAATTTTCCTTAAAAAATTATTACAGATACAAGAACCTGTCCTGAAATCAAAACTATATTAGGTATTTACTTTAGATTATTTACTTTGCTATAAATATTGTAATCTTAAATCGTACAGGGTGTTCAAAATTCTAACTTCATAAAATAGTTTTATTTAATGGAACAACTGTATATTATTTTTTTTTTATTAGATGGAGAATTAAAAAATAAACATTTTTTGTATTTAAAATAATTCAAAATGTTTAATGGTTTCACAGATACACGCAGTATTATTTCATATGGCTAAATACAAAAAA